AGGAGACCCTACCATTCCAGAGAAGTGGCTGTCCAGTCTTTTCTTAAAAGCCTCCAGTGATGAAGCGCCCACAACTTCTGATGGCAAGCCTTCCTCTTCCTCGTCTGTTAAAAGAATGTGTGATTTATTCTGGTTTTTTAAACTTTGCCGATTACATATTTTTACCTCTTTTAATTGCTTTTAATACATAAACATAAAGAAGGAGAACAATATGCATATACAAAAAAATTTAAAAATGTAATAAAACAAAGGGAGAGGGAAAGGGAGGAAGGGAAGAAGGAGAGAGAAAGAGATTAAATAAATATAAATACAGCAAAAATCTAAACCATCAAGCTAACTTGAACACACAGAGTAATATCAATTAAATCCTCCACAACATCAATTGAAGAATGATTCATTATAGTAAGTGAGAGTATTTGTTTTCCATCCAGGGTTTTAACTCATGTGTAACACAGTTTTTCCACAGTCAATACTATAGAGAACAACAAAAGGTAACAACGACATCCTGGCAACAGACAAGACAACCCATCTTTCCAGTATGTAAGATTCCTGCTCTCCCAGACTTTCTCATATATTTTCTCTCACACAAAAATCATCGATGGTAGCTGTGAACAGCTGGGCAGATCAGAGGGGTTCCACACATTGCTTTAAACCAGAATGTAATGTTCACTATTGGCTTAGCCTGTTGTCTGAACCCAGCCATTATGATTTCTGAACAATAGTTTGTGGCAGCCAGTTGTATCCACCAAACAAGTGTGGTTTAATGCACAACTTCTTATTAAATAAACTATAATGTAGCATAGTGTGTGAATCCAATTGTTATCTTTGCTTTGTATATTTCAGGATCCAGTCTGCAAATGCACACCTTCATATGTCAAAGTATCTGTCCCATTCTTAGATACTTCCATTTGATATATAATAAAACTTGTGCTGAACCTCTGAAGATATTTACCATCTTGGAATAATAAGATCTTATATTTTGGATACTATACAATAACTTGTGAGATTTTAGCTTTTGGAAGTGATGGATGCTCTCCATTGGAAAAGCCAGACTATTTTCACAACAGTATAACCTAGTACAGACATGGCTGAAATATCATTTTTTTCCCTATGACTCAGTCTCTGAATTCTTATTATCTAATAAAAGTTTGTTGCCATTCAAAATCATGTACTAATTAATTCACTACCTAACAAAGTCATTGCTTTAATGGATGCCATTTTTCATTTTATAGCTTGAAAAAGCTGGTTCTTCTCTTAGAACAAATAATAGACAATCTTACATTGCAATTGATAACAAAACTGAAAAGAACTAGGTAAGAGCTACCTAATTTATACTGCTGAACATGGTTGCTTGTTCATGAACAATTTGTCAGCAATGCATCCAAATAAACACCTCTAAGTTAAATGAAGAATGGACCACCAGTTTTTCCTTTAAAATGCACCCAATTTGTTGTGATTTTATTCAGAATACAAGGTGTTGGACTCTATTGTATCATAAAATATTTATAGGAAGTCCTTCTTTAACTACCACAAATGAGACCAGCAATTTGGTCATTAAGTGCAGTGATTACTAAGTGGCACTGCAATTGTTTTTGATGTTGTACCAGGTCTCTTTTGTTTTACAAAGCTGTGAAGATCATAATTATTATCAAATTTATTTCTCACCCATCTCGCTGATGACTTTGATAAATATGAGGATTGTTTGTAAGGTTATTTTTTCACCACTATTACTAAATAAGGCAGTCACTAAATGAGGACTATCTATATTTTGTCTTTTTCGAAGCCTTTTTCATGGGAGAAGAACATCATAACCAAGTGAAAAAGTATAAGAATTGATCAGATTAAAGCTGACCAGCATTGTTTTCCCAATAAGCAGCCAACCAGAACTCCAGAAATAGGATAGAGCAGAACAGAACAGAACAGAACAGAATAGAATGCTTTATTGGCCAAGTGTGATTGGACACACAAAGAATTTGTCTTTGGTGAATATGTTCTCAGTGTACATAAAAAAGAAGATACATTCATCAAGATCATAAGCTACAACGTTTAATTATAGTCATAGGATACAAATAAGCAATCACATCATACAATTTATGTCCAGGATATGAGGGATCTGTAAATATTTTCACAGCCCTCTTTTTGACTAGTGCAGTATACAGGTCCTCAGTGGAAGGCAATGGATCTTCCCTGTATATGATCCTTATATTGGTTATTCAAAGATAGAGTGCCTTGGTTCATGAGGGTTCAGTGACATGTAACCAGTACCTAACATTCGAAAGCAAATTTGAAGTGAGACAGAGAAGGCATCCTCTTTATCATTCTTGCCATATGAAATAAATAATCTAATGTGTTAATTATAAAAATCCCCAGCTTGCAGTGGGGTAAAGTGTGTCACTGCAGAAAGTTTGCCTTCCTTCATATTGGCACACATATTGTGAGTCACATACAAAGGAGTGGAACTCAAATTGTGATGTTGTAAGTTATGTTTCATCATTTCGGTCTTATTGGGGTTAGGAACCAATGTCTATCTCTATAGTGCTGCAACAGATAAAACAGATCCATATAGTTTAAATAACTTGCAAGATTGGGAGAAATGCAAATTTTTTTAAAAAAGGTTTTCCTATCATGTCATGTCCAACTTTAGGGCACAATGCTTATCTCCATTTCTTGGTTGAGGGAGCCAGCATTATCTGAAGACAATTTCCGTGGTCATGTGGCTAGCATGGCTATACGCCAAAGGTGCACGGAATGCTGTTACCTTCCCACCAAAGTGGTACCTATTCATCTATTTGCATTTGCATGCTTTCAAACTGCTAGGTGCTAGGTAGCTTGGGTCTTGAACCTGGGCTGTCAGCTTTCCAGTTGACAAGCTCACCGTCTTTCACTGCTAAGCCACACGCCTTTGGGAGAAAAGCAAACTACAACAGTTTTGCTTTACCAGAATGGTAGATAAAAATGAGCATAATAATGTTGACTGAAGTATTGCTTAGTATAAGATGACCAAACTTACACAATCTAGTGTTGTAATGGGAAAGGAAAAATGAATTGTTTCATCTTTTTCTTTTTTAATCTAAGTCAAACTCAAGGCCCGCGGGCTGGATCCAACCCATGGGGTACTTAGATCTGGCTCATGGGGCTTTCCTGGAAATAATGAAGGACTGGCCCGTGGTGCCTCTGCCAGCAAACATGGAGCTTACGAGCTCCATTTTTGCTTGCAGAGGGTTGTAGGAGGCCGTCGCAGCCGGAAATGGAACTCAGGAGCCCATTTTCGCTGGCAGAGCACTTGGGCCACCACAGCAAAGGTGGTATTCAGTAGGTTCTGTCCAGTTCTGGAGAACCAATAGTGGAAATTTTGAGTGGTTCGGAGAACCGACAAATACCACCTCTGACTGGAGATTTTATAGTATTCTTCCCCTGCCATGCCCACCAAGCCATGCCCACAGAACCGGTAGCAAAAATTTTTGAATCCCACCACTGCACCACAGCCATCCCCGACATAAGTGACATTGAGCTGGTCAGCCCTCCCTGGTACCTGCCCCTTGCTCCCCTCAGGTCAAACACAACCCTGATGTGTCCCTCAATGAAATCGAGTTTGACACCCCTGATCTAAGGACTGCCTAAAATTGTCCAATCTGGAGCAGAATGGCGAGCTTAAGAGGGATGCGTGAACTTCACTTTCAGCTCATTTTCTTCTTTCCTTACCATGAAATTCCTTTTACTTTCAGTGCCACCATAATTAGAGTGGTGGTGCTTTTGTGAAGAGGATACCATAGTTATAATTAATCATTTCCGTTAGCTCTGATTTAAAAAGGAGATTTGTTAAAAAGGAGAGGAGGAGAGATACAGCAAGAGGACAAAGTGTGCATAGCAACTATTTCTGACTGTTTCACAATATCCGGATGGCCTGGCAACATTCTCTCTTCCCATATCTGAAGTAAGCTTAATGTCGTAATTGGGAAGGGCTGGATTTGCATATCATGCTGATATACTTGGTTTGGTTTTGCTTCAGCCTGTCCTTTAACCCAAACAGCATATGATTAAACAAGTAATGTCATAGTATGATGTGCCAAGCAGCTACATTATCTGCTTGATTAATATACAACTCCAGAAGCCAATGTCCATGGTTTTGATACCAAGCAAAAAGGAGACAAGACACATTTTGCAGTTGATCAAGAGAGTTCAGGTTTTATTGCTTACACGTAATTGAAGCTCAAAGATACTGAACAGATCATTGATATTTACATATTTCTTCACATCAAATAATTATTTCCAAAGCGATTCACTTGGGTTTCTTTTTTGCATGCAGTATATGATCAAACATGGGGAAAATATTTCCTAATAAATAAGTAGTGATGATTAGGTTTTGAACATGCAACCACATATAACCTCTTTCAAAAAGAACAATTCTTTTTTAATGTATTCCCATTGTTCTTTTTGTAATTATTCCTTATTATAGTTGAAATATAGATATATTATTTTAAAAGCAAGTGAGCTTTGATTTACTGATGTCTCCAAGTAAAATCGCCTTCTACAATTAATCTCCGGTTCCTATTTAACCTTTACAAGCTTTCAACCCTATTTTGACTCAGTTTGGCTGAAGTGAATGGCTAGGCCTGGACAATGCTGATCCCATTTGTTTATAGAGATTCTCAGACATCCAGGCCATGGTTGTCCAAAAGGTGCTTTTTCAAGAGGCAACTGGACTTTCTGGTTTTTCCTTGAAGACATTTCACTTCTCATCCGAGAAGCTTCTTCAGCTCTTGGAGGAGAAACGAAACGTCTTCAAAGAAAAATAAGAAAATCCAGTTGCCTCTCGAAAAAACACCTTTGAGCTGCTCTCATTTCATTACTAAAACAAAATCATTCTTGTAATAAATGTAGAAAGAAAAATTAAATGAATAAGAGCACATTAGGTCGCCCTGAACATAGTGGAATCAAGTTGGAATCCTTTGACGTTGATTTTAGCACTACTCTCAGGAAAAGTAAAGTGCAATGGGCAGCAAACAAATTAATTAATTAATTAAAGAAATAAAGCATCTACCCAAGAAAGTGATTGGCAGTGTGTGTGTGTGTGTGTATGATGAATGAGCAGAAAATGAGGAGCTATTTAATTCATGATTGTTATTTGATTGTCAGGAAGAAGAAGGCTTTCTCATCTCTATTCCAAAATAGCTTCATTGACCTTTAGTTTTATGTGCTTTGATTACAAGGTGGGTGGGAATACTATTTTCTACTCCCCCCCTGCAACCATATTTGCCCTCCCAACCATAGATTATTCCTCTTGATATAGATCAATTGCAGATGTTCTCGTAGAGAAGGCCTGGCATGTTAAAATGAGCTTCACGGCTTTCCTGAACCAACGATAGGAAAACACATAAATCAAGGGGTTACAGGCAGAATTAAAGTAGGCAAACCAAATAAGAACATCAAACACAAAAGGAGGGGTAATGAAATCCAGCAGGCTGTCTAGCATAGTGTCTATGGTAAATGGCAACCAGCATAAGAGGTAGATTCCTACGGCGATACCTAAGGTTTTTGCTGCCTTCCTTTCTCTTTTTGCAGCTCCTGTTTGAGGTTTGCTCCCTCTGGGTTTTTTGTTCATATTGCTGATCTGTTTAGCTTGTCTAGTTGCCACAATAAATATTTTGATGTATAACCCTATCATGATGAGGCAGGGAAAGAAGAAGACTGGGAAGTTGATCCAGCCCCAGAGTTTGTTGTACAGCAGCTGACAACTCCCAATGCAGGGCAAGTCTTGCAGAAACTGGCCTAGCTTTTCCTCAATTCCTTTGCTGTAAAGGAAGATGAACGTGTAAACCACAGGAACTCCCCACCCCAGGGTTATGTAGATGCAAGCCACCCGTATGGTGAACTTGGTGGGATAGAGCAAAGGATCACAGATGGCAGAGTGACGGTCGACGGAGATAAAGCAGAGGTGGAATATGGAAGTCAAGCAAAAGACCGTGTCCAGAAATGTGTGGAGCCGGCAAAAGTCATCTCCAAAATACCAGCAGCTCTCCACAGAGCGGATTGTGCTGAAGGGAAGGACGGTTAAGCCCAGGAGGAGATCTGCCAGGGCAAGAGAGAGTAGCAAGAAGTTAGTAGGAGTGTGAAGTATTTTGAAGTGGAAGATGGAAATCATCACCAAGAGATTCCCCATTACGGTAACTAAAACACCGATAGCGCAGACCATGTAAATGGCTAACTGGACTCCAAAGGGTTGGAGGGTTCTTGGGCAGGATCCATTCACCGGAAAGCACAGCGGGACTGGCATAGTTTCTTCCGCTACGGAGCTCATTTGGCTTCCAACCGCGTTCAATTTCTTTCTGCTACAGCAAATGTTCTGTAATTTAAAAAGAGGGGGATTGTGTGAACCATGAGGCAGAGAATGGGATCCCAAACATTGGGAAACAATATGAGTCAGAGGTTGAAAGATTGCTACTGTAACCTAATGCGCTAAATGAAAAATATCTCATCATTCCATCTGGTATAATTCCATTGGTTCAGTATTCAATATTATTCAGCTCTTCTCTTTCTTGATTGGTCACTGTGGAATCATTCTTAGTGTCAAGGTTCCAAGTAACATACCCATAGCAATCAAAACTCCGAGGCAGGCAGATTCCTCAGAGAAGAGGTTTATTGGATATGTCATACTGACACAAACTTGGTGAAAACTGATCCTAACAGTTTTCATCCAAAGTAAAAGTAAAAGTTTTTCGCTTTCTCAAAACAATCAGTCACATGGTCCAAGGAGGATATAATCCATTTGCTAGACAACCTCATTCTCCGCCTTCCGAGCGCCTGTTGGAACGTCCTTGCATCCCAAGAAAAAGTATTTTGTTTTGGCTACAAACCCCAGCTATCTCTAATCCCCACTCCCTATCCCTCAGCTTCAGCTGTGGCAGCAGTAAAGCTTCAAAATGGCCTCAATCAGATCAGCTTCCGGGTTGACACCAGAGGTGGTACTCAGCAGGTTCTGACCAGTTCTGGAGAACCAGTAGCGGAAATTTTGAGTAGTTCGGAGAACCGGCAAATATCACCTCTGACTGGAGATTTTTTGGTATCCTTCCCCTGCCACCCCCATCAAGTCACCCCCATCAAGCCACGCCCACAGAACCAGTAGTAAAAAAATTTGAATCCTACCACTGGTTGACACTTAGTTCTTATCCTTACCATCAATCAATATGCACATCTGTTATATCTCCTACCTTTTAAGAAAATATATATATGAAAAGGTTTGTATATTTGTCGCTTCCCATTTTTTCATTTCTGTGATTATTGAGATAGTGAAATTTAAAGATGAATTCAATTTTGTTAGATAGATGAGGCACCTGTGGTGGCACGGTGGTTAGAAAGCAGTATTGCAGGCTAACTCTGTTGACTGCCAGGAGTTCGATCCTGACCGACTCAAGGTTGACTCAGCCTTCCCTCCTTTCAAGATGGGTAAAATTAGGACCCAGATTGTTGGGGGTAATATGCTGTCATTGTAAACTGCCCAGAGAGTGCTGTAAAGCACTATGGGGCAGTTTATACGTCTAAGTGCTGTTGCTATTGCTATAACGCAAACTTATTTATTCAGTTTTTGAGACAAAGTCTTAATAAAGGCAAGGAATGATTTTTTCCCCCCATTTAATTTTTAATAAGGCTTTAGAACAACTGGATATATCTGTATTGAAAGTGCTGCCCGGTAAGAGAAGGGAGAATTAAGATGCATTTGGGGGACTCCTACGTGAAGGATTACTGGAAGAGACAAAGGGGAATTTGAGACGATTATCAAAGCTCTTTGTTAAAAAAAATGAATTTGATTTTTTTTTAAATAGAGGGTTGTGTGACAATGTACACAGGAACGGCAAAGAAGGATTTGTTCAAAGTGGTTTGGTTAAATCCTTGGAGGTGAAGGAATAAAGACAAATGCTACAAGAGTTACAACTTGATTCCATATGAGGAATGTAAGGGAGGAGAGTATTTGTAGATTTCAGAGAAGGTGAGCTTACTCACTACTACCTAAATTACTTTTCTCACTCAACTAATCTGGCCCCAGATTAAGAGCAGAACAGGAAAGGAAATAGGATGTCTTAGTGTGCCCAGACCACCAAGTAAAATATATTCTTGCTACCCTTCCCTATGACATCTGTGACTGAAGAGCCCTTTACTAGGAAATTATCTACCCTGAATAGTTTATATTTCTGGGTATTCTAATGTATCTAATGATTTCTAGCATCCCCAGGTTTCCTACCTACAACCTTTTCTTTTCGTCTTCTCTACCACCAAGTATATATTTGCATGGTTCTCTCTTCATTGTTCTCTTTCCAACCTTACCAAATTGCTTGCCAGGATGGACGAGTGGGTGGAGTGCATCTCCTTTTCCCTTTCCTGTAGCTTAAGCAAGACTTTTGGGGTGCTGCATAAATGCATCCATATCTTCATTTCTCTAGTGGACTAATAAGGAATTTTTTAAAAACACCACACACAAGAAAATAGAAAAAGACAGAAGAGAGCAGCTCTGTTTTTCAAAAGAAATAAGTCATACTGAAATTAGAGGCTCTCTGAGCCAGAGGAAGTGCTGGGTATATGAGTAGCATATGACTGGACATTTGCTAAATGATTTTTTTTTTTTGCTTAATCTTGTATTTCTTTTGCATTCCTGGAAAGTGGGCTGCTTTTCCAAATGAAAGATAATAATTGATTACAATATGAATGAGAAAGCAAAGAGCGTTTTTGTTAAAATAACAGTGCAAATAGATGTGTGTGTGTGTGTGTGTGTGTGTGTGTGTGTGTGTGAGAGAGAGAGAGAGAGAGAGAGAGAGAGATCATATGCCCTCCCTGATGAAGATATTGTATTTCTCCCTCTTTCTCTCTCTTTCCTTTCAAGCAGACTTCCCTTCATTTTCAGTTGCATAAAAAATATAAATAGAAAACCAACTTGCAGGTAAACATTACAATGAAATTATTCTTTCACTGATGTACTGTTTAATAATTAAACTTCTAGCTTACAAAACAAATAAGCTGAGATAAAGAATTCTGCAATATAAATAGTGTCTACGCCGATTTGGAAATGTGGAAAGGCGGAAGTAAAGCCGAATAATGTGAATACGCAATTGATAAGTGTATTAGGAGACATCTGTTTTCAAATCAAACATCTTTTCAGCTTCAAGGCAGTATAGGTTAAACAATATACACTTGCATTAAAAGGAGCTCAGTGTGTTATTCAAGTAAACCTAAAGTATTTTTTTTTACAACTGCAAAAAATAAGAAGAAAGAATGTATGCTTTCTTGGCTTGGGATTGAAATATATAAATAACATAGGGGAGAAAAAAGCTTACCTGGTAGAATCCACTGCATTAATTTTCAAAGTCTGTCTTCATTGTGTATCTGAGGAATAGGAAATCAAGTAAGGCCTTATATAATCCAGTTGGAATAATAGGCCTCTCTAGTGAATATTATATTGGAAGGTGTGGTCTCCAACATGTTCATTTAGCATCAATGTGCACTGAAGTACCTGGAGGTTTATGGACCAGCATATTCCTTGCTGCTTAATAAATGATAGCATAATCCTACAAAATAAGTATTGTAATGACTTCAGAGGTGGTATTCAGCAGGTTCTGACCAGTTCTGGGGAACCAGTAGTGGAAATTTTGAGTAGTTTGGAGAACCAGCAAATACCACCTCTGACTGGAGATTTTACAGTATCCTTCCCCTGCCACACCCACCAAGCCATGCCCACAGAACTGGTAGTAAAAGTTTTCTAATCCCACCACTGAATGACTTGTTCCATTAAAGATTACAGAGCTGCTACATAAGGGACAAATTGTCTATAAAACCTACCATAAAAGTGGCACCTACCTCTGAGTTGTGCACTGCAGCTCCTATCATTCCTAGGTAGTACCTCCTAATTGTGATTTGTATTTGTTAAGCCTAGTAGTAGCTGTCCAAACTAGCTGCATCAGTGAGATAGACGAAATAAAAATCCAATAAATAAATAAATTAGAAACAGTAGGCTAATATTACCAGTTGTTGGAATAAGACTGAAGAGAATCAAATGGACAAATATTTATTTATTGGGTTAAATTTACACCCGCTTTTTCAAATAAGAGCCCAAGGAAGTACAATATACACTATGGCAGGGGTCGCCAACCTTTTGGACCTCAGGGACCACCAAACTCATAATTTTAAATCCCGTGGACCAGAGACCCTGGGAAAATCCCCCAAAAAGTCTGCAGGAAAAATCCCCAACCTGTTTTCCTACTGATTGATCATTCTTTATTTGGGATCATAGGATACCGTCTCCAGCTCAGGGGGAGAGAGAGACTTTTGGCTTCATGCAAGAGAAGCAGCAGAAGCAGCAGAAGTCTTTCTCTCTCTCTCCCAAACTGCCAGAAATTAGTCTTTCTGAGACTTGTTGCGCTGGCACAGCCTCTTGGAGCAGGATGCCTTGCAGAGTCCCAAAGACTCATTTCTGGCAGTTTGGGGGAGAGAAAGAAAGACTTTTGCTGCTTTTCTTGTGTGTAGCCAAAAGCAGAAGAAGAAAGAAGCGGAAAGAAGTAGCCTGGTGGCTAGGCATGGTGCATGGGGTGAGTGGGGCAAGTTCTCCCCCTCCGCCCTTTTCCCCCTCCCCTCAACTACCTCCTGTTTCCCCCCTCCCCTCAACTACCTCCTGTTGTTTGCAATGCAACTGACACAAGCCTTGTGTTCCCGCGGGCCATGTGGGCAGCGCACCATTGTGTTCCCGGGCAGCCTGGATTAATTGCTTTGGGGGGTGCTTTGGAGGATGACATTTCTCTGCGGACCACCAAAATTTTCTCATGGATCACCAGTGGTGCCCGGCCCACTGGTTGGTGACCACTGTACTATGGTCCTTTTTGTTTTTACCTAAAACAACAATCTGTGATATATTGTTCTGAGAGAAAATGGCTGGCCCAAAGTCACCAATTGAACTTCCATCTCTGAGGTGGACTAAAACCTGGGTTTTTCTTTTGCGCAATGAATAAAGGTTCACATGTCGGACTAGGAAAAGAAAAAGGTTAATGAAGCTTTTACTAGTAGAATTCCCATTGGTTGGTAGTCATCACAATTTTAAGTTCTTAATGGAAGCAGAATCCTTACTTTTCCATCAATATTGTCACTTTACTTATTTATGTTAAGAAGCGACATTTGCACCTTTGGAGCACTTTTTAAAATTTTCTAAGCAAATAAAAGAAAAAGAATCAGTTTTAGAAGGTAAGTATAACTGAAGTATCTATGGTTGCATGTTATCATACATGTATTTGAAATATCTAAGGTACGTAAGTATTTAAGGTATTTAAGTTTCTAA